CGTGTCTCATAAAGAACAGCACCAGTAGGCTCACACCTTGCAACCGCTCTGCAGCTAAAATATCGAAGTCCTCCAGGGACACATCCCCTGTTGGTGGCACCAGGTACATCTGAAGTGGCTGGTTGCAGCTGGTTTCATCACTCTGCTGCACATGTCTCCTCAGGTTCTGCTTCTGCTGTGCTGTTGCCCACGCTGAACCCATCTCCACCTTGAAATCCATTTTGCAGGACCTGAAAACAGCACTGGATAAGCACAGAATGGCTGGCCCAAATCAGCAATAGACAATCACATGACCAAAAAATTTTATGATAAAAACAGCTGCCATGATGATAGCACACAAACATGTCTTACTGTGCAATACAAGTGCCTAATATTTCCTTCCCTCATTAGCAGTAAGCTCATCAAGTAAGCTTAGCTATACAGTAGTACCAAATAGCAGGAACACCCACCCTTAGCCCAGCATTCATGTTTTGTGGCAACTGGGGGATGGCTTGGCTTACTTGGTACAGGGTTTGACCATAACCACATATGGGGGGGGGGGGGGGGGTGAGCTATAGCATGCCATCAGCTAGCAGTTGTGTTATCCACAGTAAACTGGTGAATAATAAGGATAACATATGACCTGACATGCTAAATGTGCATACTTTAACACTGAGCCCAAATTCATTGTAATTGTAACCAGAACCATTCATATTGCAATGTGCAGGCTGCCAGTGCTGATGCAAGCAGATATTAATGAGCTAATATTGCTAACATTTGGGTAATACAACAATGCAAAGCACCACATAACTCCTGAGGACAAATCATCACGTGTTGTAAAAATGTAACTTTGTGGGACCTGTACAAGTGGGACCAATGCCAATCAACATCTGAATTTATACACCTGAATTTCATAAGATCTGTATTTATAAACACAGTATCTTGGGCTCCCGATTATGCAGTAGGTCGGATGTCTGTTTGCAAAGATCTGGAGCACTTCCTATTCTTAAAGCACCCTGAATCCTGAATCTTACCTTTTGGTTGACCTTAGTTGACTATCAGTCCTTCAACCACAAACCTGTGCATTGGATTATCATACATTATTAGTTGTAGCCAGACCCAAGCAATTGTGAAGATCAACCGATCAGATATTTTTTAGCCAGACGCCCAGTCAGTCACGCTTAGAAAGCAGATGGCTACAAGGAAGGCCTTTGCTTGATGGGAGCCCCTGCCGTTCTAGGATCTCTCCAATAATTTTAGAGGCTTCACATTTAGCCACCACTCACCACACCCGGGCGCAATTTAATGCCAAGACTGCCCCATCCCTGCCACGGTTGTTATGGCAAATCGAGGAAACCTCCCCATTAGTCATCTCATGTATGGCCTAAATTTAGGGCCAGCTCCTAGCAGGCATTGCAGGCAGGCAATAACATCTCAGAGGTCCTGATTACGGTTTGCAGACAGGGCATTAATTAGATCCAAAATATAACATCCCCAAAATTTACCTGACGTTTCGCCTTTGCAGCCACAAGTGCTTACCAAGCCCAACATTTGGCGCCAAAATCCTAGCATGAGCCAATCTTGGCGCTGCTGGTGTTTATCACTCGCGCCATGATATCCTTAAACACTGCAATTTACTTGCATACTGATAATTTGTCTGCAGCGGTGATCACGTACTGAAGGCGTCCATTGCACACCACTCAAGATGTCATTTTTGATAAATCGAAGTTCCAGAAGAAGACGCCGCTGATCACGCGGTCCGTGACCCAGAAGTTTTGAAATATTAGGAACAACGTCTGCCAGGAGCTGTCTTTTTTACACGGCTCATCGTTCAACGATCGCGACAGAAACGCACCAATCAATGCGTAATGAAGGTCATTTTTATATCAGTCCAGAAGATACAACCTCTGTGCCACGGTTAGTGTAAACCAGGGATCATCAAAGCACAAAAATGGCCTCTTTTGATAAATTTAATGCATTACACCTGCTGAACAATTTGTCAGCAATCCTGGCAGCACCCATCGCCATAAAAAGGATACTTTTCAACAACCCCTGGCTATTTACTTTCGTTAACCGCTAATGGGGCCTCTATATCACATATCCCGTAACCCAGGGGTGGTCAAATATCAGAAACGGTACATTTCAGAAGCTGTAAATCCTTCTCGTCCCCTCCGTGCAATGGTGGCGATGAAAAACACCGTACTGCGCCGCCTCGCGTGCACGCCGCACCCCCCATTGTCTGCTGGTCGGAAAGTATTCAAATACACCGACTTGTCCGTCGTTGCTTTCCGTTCCTAAGAGCCATCATCAACCTGCTGAACTTCTCAGGCGGTCATAACTGTCAGGCAGCGAACGGAAGCGCATTTACTGCGTCCAAAGTTGCCCGCGCTGTGTACGCAGAGCACATCTTGTCTTCTTTTTGGTGGTCATCTGCATAAGACACAGGTCATGAGTTCACTGACAATGTCTTCAGCCAAGATCCGCGCAGCGATCGCGACCACAGGACAAGTATCATCTGCACTGTAGCCAGGTCCACAGGGACACGGCAACAACGGGTCAATGTCCTCTGAGTGCGGGCGGCCACAGAACAGGTTTACTGAGCATTGACTGAGGAGACTTGCTGTGTCCGGATCATCAGTTAGGTAGTCGTGTTTGCAATGTCCGTCGTCAGTAAGCTGGATGTCCCCACCGCCCGGCAGTCCAGGCCGTGTCCACGTGATGGGTAGGTACACACCACGCAGAGTGAGTGCCATAATCTCCGGCCGGGCCAGCCGGGTAGTGATTAGGTCGTCCACTCAACAGCGCATCTTTCCACGGTCGGGTGCCGCCCGGAGCGGTGGTTTGTAAAGATAAGGCGTGCAATTTACAGTACTTATGCTTATGCGCAGGAAGGTGCAATCATGCACACACGATGTTATTGTCAGAGCACTATCAGCTGACAATACGAATATTCCACTGGCCGACATTGCCTGTTTTGTCCAAATCACCGCCTGACGGCTCATAGATAATTTCAGCTGGACTGGTCATAGAGTAGACCATAGTGTCGTGACCAGGGAAAAATACGCCACAAGGAATCAAAATATTGCGGCTGTGTTTTATGACACTTACATGGGTTTATCAGCTACCAATATAACACACTCGGCAGATATTGGTTTCCATTTTATTAGGTTGGACCACCGACTGCCTATCATTCAATGCATGGATGTCAGCCGGAGCGATGATTCGCACAGATACGGCGCGCAATGCAATATATTTTGACTTGTACGCGCAAGGCGAAACCTTCCGCACATGATGTTATTGTTGAAGACTTATTTGCTGAATGTAAATCTCTCGTCACCCGACACGTCATTCTTTCACACCACCATGACCGCGACTTGAAAACTGCTGCCTGCCTGGTCGTTAAGGGATGACCATAATACGTCTGCTCGGGAAAGGTCCTTATAATTGAACCCAAAGATGGTGACTGTTGGCATTCGATAGCACTGATATAGGGCTTTCATGTGCCATTTAACACACTTGTCAGAATTTTGTTTTGATTTTATTAAATCGCTTCCACGACGGCGTTCCAACCAATGGCTGGGGCCGGTTGGAGCAGTGATTTAGAAAGATAATGCAGTCCAATTTGAACTAATTAGACTTGTGCGCTGAGGATGTAACCTTGCACACATGATGTCATTGTTGTAGCCCCATCGACCGGCAGTGAAAATCTGTCTCCGGTCGATATGATCTATTTTTTTCAAGTCGTCTGTTAACGGCGCATAGCTCATTGCGGTCGGCATGCCCGCAGGGTGATGGCCATAATGCAGCGGCTGGACAAGATAGTTACGATGAAACACAAAGGTTGCGATTGTACGAATTCGATATCACTGACGTAGGACTGTCAACTGACAATTCAATAAAATCGTCGGATTTTGGTTTTGAGTTTGTTCGGAGAACCTCCCGGAAGAGTGATACTCTTTTTCAATCTAATTTAACACACCCCTCGGATTTTCGTTTCGGTTTTGTTTGGTTGACCTCCCAAAAGAGTATCGCTCAAAATATGGCGGCGGCATGGACGGTGATTTGCACAGAGACGGTGCTCAATTTCAGATGATTTTACTTGGGCACGAAATGTGCGATGTGACTTGCACGGTCCCATTGGGGAGGGATATCCGCTGAAAAAGTGAACCTCCCATCGGCCGACGTGATTTTGTTTACTGAATCTATGCCTTGAGGGGGCGTATCTAACTGTGAAGCCGGTCTCCAGGCACATAGGTAGCCTCCCGAGCCGGCACAAAAATAGCTCCAGCCGGACCAGCCGAGGAGTGATGACCGTAATATCGTGACCGGGAGGCATACTGATGATCAAACTCGAAGCTTGCAACTGTCAGCCGGACTATCCGAAGAGTGATGACCGTAATATCGTGGCCGGGAGGCATACTGATGATCAAACTCGAAGCTTGCAACTGTCAGCCGGACTATCCGAAGAGTGATGACCGTGATATCGTGGCCGGGAGGCATACTGATGATCAAACTCGAAGCTTGCAACTGTCAGCCGGACTATCCGAAGAGTGATGACCGTAATATCGTGGCCGGGAGGCATACTGATGATCAAACTCGAAGCTTGCAACTGTCAGCCGGACTATCCGAAGAGTGATGACCGTAATATCGTGGCCGGGAGGCATACTGATGATCAAACTCGAAGCTTGCAACTGTCAGCCGGACTATCCGAAGAGTGATGACCGTAATATCGTGGCCGGGAGGCATACTGATGATCAAACTCGAAGCTTGCAACTGTCAGCCGGACCAGTTGAAGAGTGATGACCGTAATATCGTGGCCGGGAGACATACTGATGATCAAACTCGAAGCTTGCAACTGTCAGCCGGACTATCCGAAGAGTGATGACCGTAACATCGTGCCCGGGAGACATACTGATGATCAAACTCGAAGCTTGCAACTGTGTGTGCAATCTAGGGCGCTAGCATACGGCTGTATGCTGCCATTACCACACGCGGCGGACTTTGGTTCCGGCTTCAGCCAGTTGACCACCCGCCAGCGTATCAAGCAACGCCTCGGCGCCGGTGGGAGCCCTGATTTGTGCAGATACGGCGTACAATTTAGGGTTTTTAAGCTGTGCGTGGAGGGTAAAATGTTACGCACACGATGTAACTGTGGGAGGAACACCCACGTCGGTCTAAGTCACTTAGCGGCAGACATCACCTTTATGCCCAAAAAGCCCCCCGGACAGCGACCCGCCGATGCCGGACTGGCCGTACAGTGATGACCATCGTACGGTGACCCAAAAGGAGATACTTATCACCAAAGATAGAAATGGTATAGAGCTAGCAGTTGTCAGGGCAGCACACTCGTCAGATTTTTATTTTTATTTTACTGGGTCGATACCCCAACAGCGTTCCGCTGAACGCTTGGGTGCGAGCCGGACCGATGATTTGCACAGATAAGGCGTACAATATGGAATGCTTTGATTTGTGTACGGAAGGTGCATGATGTCGTTGTTAAAGCAGTTTTGGCTGGTGATGCAGATCTCTCGCCGGGCGGGCATGACCTTTTTGTTCAAATTACCTCTTGACAGCCCATAAGTAACAGAGGCTGGGCTGCACGAAAAGTGATAGCCATAATCCGGAGGCACGGGAAAAATGCTGGCGCACTCAAACCCGAAGAGTGCAACTGTACGCATTCAATGATACTAGTATGTGACTATCATGTACCAATAAAACCTACCGGTCGGATTTTAGTTTCGAGTTTATTCTGCCGATCCTCCCCGACAGCGTTTCACTGAATGCTTGTTGAAGTCTCCACCGGCCGTTTGAACCGATAAGGCGTACATTTTAAAATACCTTTACTGTCGCGCGGAAGATAAAACTTTGCGCTGACGCGCACGGTATCATTCTGTGAGCTCTATCGGCCGGCAATGTAAATATGTATTTGGCCGGTGTGGTGCTTTTTGTTCAAGTAACCCCTTGGCGCCGCACACCCAACTGCGGCCTGCGGCCCCTAGAGAGACGGCCATAGCACAGCGGACCGGGAAAAAATCAATAATCGATAAGCACAATGGCAACTGTGTGAATGCGATAGTGCTAGCATAGGCCCATCAGCTGCCAGTGCAGGACCCTGGTCGGATTTTAGTTCCGGTTTTAATCGGTACGGCCCCAAAATGCCGGCTGGAGCGGATATTTGCAGATGTACGGTTATATCACCATTTCTTGTGCGCGGAAGGTCAAGCTTTACATGCACGATATCATTGTGTGAGCACTATCAGCTGGTAACGTAAAGCTCTCATCATTCGACATGTCCTTTTCTGCTCAAACCACCCCGTTGTCGGCGACTCGCTTACTGTGGCCGGCCTGGCCGGAGAGTGATGGCTATATTACGGCTGACCAGGGGAAGTACCTCTAATCGAACCCGAAGATTGCAATTGCTGCGTTCGACAGCTATCAGCTGCCAGCGCAACACACTCCTTGGATGTCGCTTTCGATTTTATTTGGTCGCCCGCCCAAGAGCGCAGGGGGGTCTTAAAGCCACGTCGGCCAATGCCTCGGGGTCGGCGTGGGCGGTGTGATTTGCACAGCTTCGGCGTACAACTTAAATACTGTTACTTGTGTGCGCAGAAGGTGCAACCCTGCGCGCACGGTGTCATTGTGGGAGTACTTTCGACCGAGAATGTTGATATATCATCAGCCGGCATGACATGTTTTGTTCAAATCGCTACTTCACGTCGTGCAGCCATGTAGTCGCGAGCCTGCGGCCGGCCTGCTCGGATGGCCATGCCGCGGCAGTCCGGTAGCATGCTCACAATCTAACCCGAAGATTGCGATTGTGCGTAATCGAGCGCTCATATAAGGCCGTCAGCTGCCAGTGTAACAAACTGGTCGGAGTCGTGTTCCGATCGTATTCAGTCGACCACCGACAGCGTCCCACTCAGTGCTTGGGGCCAGCCGGGACGATTATTTGCACAGACATGGCGTCCAAGTTGAAATACTTTCGCTTGTGGGCGGAAGGTGAGCCTTGCGCACGTGATGTAACTGAGCGCACTGGCCGGTATTGTAAACATCACATCAGCTGACATGCTCTTTTTGGTTCAAATTATCCCACGATGGCACATAGGTAACCGCGGCCGGGTGCTCGGAATGTGATTCTCATAATGCGTCGGTCCGGGAAAGATAGCTGTCTTCGAACCCGAAGGCTGCGGCTCCGTGCATTCGGTAGGACTTGTGTATCGTTTTAAGTTGCCAGTACAACACCCACGTCCGAGTTTGGTTTCGAATTACCGAAAGGGTATCACTTAATACGGCGGTCATTGAGAGCGGTGGATTACTCAGATCGGCACCGAAGTCGAAATGCTTTTACTCACGTGGACACCATGTCACTGAGGGAACACTATCTTCCGGGATGGAAATCTCATCGCGGACGTGACGTTTTTGATATCACGCCTCGACGGCGCGCGACTTCACTCCGGGCGGCCTGCCCCTAAATTAATTGCTTCAAAGTGTCGGCCTCGAGAGCATAGTCACAATCGGGCCCGCAAATGACGCATGTATGCATTCGACAGGGCTGGTATAGGGCTATCGGGTGTCAGTACAACAAACACGTCGGATTCGGGTCGCGATTTTATTCGGCCGACCCTCTACCCCGTATCACGCAATGCTTCATGGCTGGCCGGAATGTGGTTTCAACACATACGGTCTACAATGTGAAATAGTTACACTGGTTCGCGTTATGTGCAACATCGTGCACACAGTGTCGTTGTAGGAGCCGGATCAGCTGACAATGTAGATTCCTCATCGGACGACTTGGCCCTCCTGTTCATATTACCCCTTCGGATGATTTGAACGAACTACGTTGCCGGCATAGGGCTCCCACCTGGCAGTACAAGATAATCGTCAGATTTTAGTTTCGAGTTTATTCGGTCGATCCCCACAGCGCTTTTTTTTGGGGGGGGGGGGCGGACGGAGCGACGATTTCCACGGATGTGGCGCGCAATTTGAAGTGTTTTTTTTTACTTGTGCGCACGAGGTGCAGCCTCGCGCACAAGACGCCATTGTGGGGGCACTATCGGCCGGCAGTGGATATCTCTCATCTGCTGACCGTGCCTTTTTATTTAATTCACCCCTTGAAGGTGCATAGCTAACCACGTGCGGCTTCCCGCAGTGCTAGCCATAACATGGCGGCCGAGTAAACGTACTTAAGGTTGAACTAGAAGACTGCGACTGCATGTATTAAACAGCACTCAGGTGTGGCATCAGCTGCCAATATCGCACACTTGTAAATTACGGGCGGCCTCCGTAAGAATCGGGTGTCGTTATTCAACAATCGCTTCTGGACGACTTCGTGAGCACCGACTTGGGGCCAATGGAGACATTTCGTGACAGCCTGGTCGATCAACCTGATCATTTAAGCGCATCCTTGCTTTTCCAAAGTGTGAATCCGTGACGGGCTACACCGGCGGAGGCCCACTGAACTGAGCTGCGGGCTGTGATATCCCGGTGGGTGCCGACCGCGTGGCCGTCACGTGGCAGCTGTCTGGTGCTCAGCTCCGGCAGACGGTCTGCTGACCCACCCCAGACGGGTCCGGCTGCTGCGGCGGCATGCTGGGATCAACAGGCGCCAGGCCTGCACCTCGGCCGCGCGGACGGCTCCTGGGCTTGCCCGGGATGATTTGAAACGTATGTACATTCTAAGGTCCGCCTTTTTTGTTTATGTCACGCTTCTGTTTAGTCAGTGCACATAGACGCTTGACACGAGCGCGACCACTAAAACGAAATGTGCAAGAGTACCGAAGGCCGACGGAACAAATCTGGCACTGTCGGTGCCCCGCTCCGAACAGGCGCTTTCAAGGATAATCTTAAGGCAAGGCTCGACCGCAGTGCATTTGCGAAGATAACCACAACGAAACCTGCCGCCATTTTGAAAAGCCGGGTCAGAAATATAAAAGCAAACGCAGATATTCTACATGGAACGAAACGTAAACTTCCGGCTAGACCTAGACAGAGATTCATATTCCAAGTAGATGGCTGTCGTTCTGGCATCAAAAGACTCTCTCCGGCTGGCTGCATGTCTGGCAGATGAGATAGCTGACCCGACTGGAGGCTGCAGTTCCGAGCATGGGGCTGGGTTCACCCCCGAGCCACTGCCAACCACACGGGTCAACCCTGAACATTGCATTGTGGTTTACGGATAAATTAATCTGATGTCCGATTTTGAGCGACAATTTTTGCTTCAAACATTCGAACCTATACTGAGTAACAATTATTGAGCGGTCTACGTTGTAACTTTTCAGATGCACTGCCATCGAGCCCAAACCTCAAAAAATTATCCCACTACACCCTCCCAAAAACGACAGGAAAGTCGATGATGATGACGATGATCACGATTTGGGTTTAAGGGCGCGGCGACCGCCAGGCCATATGGCGCCCATATAGGCCTGGCGCCGACAGCAGCTCTATCGGCTGTCGGCGGATGGTACCACACGTTCAGATGAGATCGTCAGTGCTTAAAATCAAGACGGCCCCCACGCAAAACAGCGCATAGGTCATACCTGGTAGACACATAAGCTCAATGACGACAAAGAACATGATTGCAGAGGATGGAGCACACCCATGCACACCTCCAAGGACGCATGATAGCGGAATTGACGCACAGCGCACGAGCGTCGGGAGGAGTCTCGCCATACAGTGGGAGGCAGTAACAGACGGGAGGCACAGCAATAACTTCCGCGAAGGCGATGGCCGACTCCGCTTCCTGCTTCCTGAGACCACAGTCGTTTTAGCTACGGCCGCTTGGTGGCGCCAGGTGCGGACATTGACTGCGAGTTTGAGTCCTCGGAGAAGTTGATCTGCTGGAAGTCCGTGTCCATTGAGTCTGAAGTGACCGAGAAACCTGCAACAGGTTGTAAATGGTCATAAGCCGATCGATGCCAGCGCTTATGCTATGGAAAAAAGAAAGCAGCGTCAGCGATCAAGACCGTCTTATCCCTTTTCTTGCTTCATGCTGCATACTCGTGACGCCCGCTTGTCCGGGCAGGCTGCAGCGCTAGCCACGAATGGGCCGAGAGGCCCCTGAAGGGGACCCTGACCGGGCGCCCAGCGCACAACCCGCGGAGCGCGGGCGAACGCTCGGCAGTTGGCTCCCTAAAGCATGTAGTCCTGTCCCACCATTGTCCATCCTCCTTCCTCAAATAGTCCTGAAATGATAACCATAATCATAATCATAATCACCATAAATATTATGACAGCCAAAAGAGCAGCAAGTAAGCCTTAAATAATGCACCTGTGTTTGAATCTTCTCCCAGAAATGATGGACTGGGTGTCTCAATAGTCTTTCCACCCTGATTCTGATTTTCTTTGTTTGCCAATGATTTCATCTTCTTTCGCTTCTCAACAGAAACTGGGACCCATTTGTAGATCCTCATTGTTGTATCACTGACTGCCACCCACTTCTTCTCCCTGGAACACACCAACATGCAGGTCTGTGATGTAATCATGTACACCATGAGCCAACATATGGATGGTTGAGTAGTCAATTTCATCATGTTACGCTAATACCTGGAAAACCATACACATGACACAATATACACACAAGCCAAATTGTACAAACACAAATGGAACAAACCTGGAATGTATTACAAAGAGATGGTCAGACTTCCCAGACCAATTCAAAGCATATAGCAGCTTAACTGGTTATGTTGAGTTGGAGAAATAAGCAGTTACAATGAAAATGCAACATAACATCCATGATGTCATAATTACAATGTCTAGCATTTTTGAATACACTCAAAATAATGGTGTAGGTATACATTGGTACCTAATGTTAGAAAAAATCATTCTACATCATTTGTCGTGTTTAAGGCGGAACATATAGTAAATAATCGTAAAATAGGTAGATCCATGCTCCTACCTTCAAATTTTAATAACTACGATAGCGAGCTCCCGAGCGCCGCACGCACCCCACCGCCTCGACTCCCCAGCGCCGTTTCTGCGTTATCGTCGCGTGATTACGATATTTCCGCTTATCAAGAACCATAAAAAATGTATGGGGCCAAGGTAACAATAATAATGCAATGAAAAACGTTTCTTACCACGTCTAGGTACGTTTATGAAATGAACAGGCCAGGATAGTCCAGAACATAGCCTGAACTAACCTAACCTAACCTAACCTAACCTAACCTAACCTAACCTGGCCTGGCCTGGCCTGGCCTGGCCTGGCCTGGCCTGGCCTGGCCTGGCCTGGCCTGGCCTGGCCTGGCCTAGCCTAGCCTAGCCTAGCCTAGCCTAGCCTAGCCTAGCCTAGCCTAGCCTAGCCTAGCCTAGCCTAGCCTAGCCTAGCCTAGCCTAGCCTAGCCTAGCCTAGCCTAGCCTAGCCTAGCCTAACCCAACCTAACCTGACCTAACCTAACCTAACCGACCCCACACCCTATACCCTTCAACCAGTGTCCCATTGGTATCAACATTCCATGCCATATATATGTACCGTACTAAGAAGTTGTGTTTAGCCGCCGTATTCTCATTTTGCTTTCATTCCCACCCAAAAACATCATATTTCCCCACCATGTCAAACAATCTACAAACAATATGGAAGACTGCTTGGATATGCAAGAAACATATTCCATTGGATTCTTGTTACATTGGCCTCATACACTTTTATGGTTCTTGTTGCGTTCCTGTTGCGCAGTAATGTTGTGATCACATGTAGCAATGGTGGTGCCGGGGTCGCGGTTGCTGTGTGATTGCGGCGCTCGGATGTTCGCTATTGTAGTTATTTAAGTTCCAAGGTAAGAGTTTAGATGACCTGTTTTATGATTAATTATGATATGTTCTGCCTTAAAAATGATGATTCATGTACAGTGCTCTTTTTAACATGACGTAGCAATGTACACCCTGACAAAAATAGCAAACATGTCACAATGTTCACATGGATTTCCTTTTAGAATCCTTATTCTTTAGCTCTTGCGCAGTTTGGCCTCTGGTTGGTGTTTAAGATCATATAGAGATAATTTCCCCCTGATTGAGACAGCAACACTTGTCCTGTGGGAGGGAATCAACATGATTTAAATATAAACATGCCCAATAACTGGCCTCCCAGGTCTTTAGCTAAACTACAACCAACACTGTTGTTGATTAATTCTGATAATTAGATATTTCCAAAAAACATAACTTCTCTAAATGTAAAAAACTATCTTATGACAGATGGCATCCTATGCATTCTGGCCATATCGACTTGATCCCACAATCAGTCCAGTTTGATGGAGTCAAGTATAGTTGGCTAGAAGCAACCATTCAGCGAATTCTTACCATTTACGAACTTTGTCCACAGTATGCATAAAACGCTTGCCATCATCCTTTGTTCTGCTCCTGGTCTCCGCACGGAAGGATCTATTCATGACTTGCTAGGATGAAGCTATAGTATGCCCTAACGGTAAGCGCTACCGTCTATGCAGCCACAATATAGTAATATAAGGCCGAAGCCGTATACGCGATAATAAGTGGCGGAAGCCTTGATCGTGAATTATCAATGTAGCGCAGCCGGCAATCTGTAATAATGGCGCGGCGATGCGGAAGGTTTGCCACGAGCTTGAGTCGCTAAAGTGACGCCAGCTTACTAATTGACTGGTGCGGTTCTTGTAAAAACTCCTTTCGAAAAAATAACACGTTTGAAACTAAAGAGCGTTTGGCGTATTAATAACTGGATAAGCTCCAGCTTCGAAAAGCAGTAAAGCTGACCAGTAAGATTTCTGATGAAATTACTAGTGTAATAAAAATAAAAGCCAACTAACTCGGCCACTAGCACTCACCCTTATACAAGAGGTATCGTGTAAACATTGTGTCGTGGACAAAATTTCACACGCATTTGAGGGTCATGCTCCTCCCCTGCTTTCGGAGCTGGGCGCCCTTCAGAGTGTTCTCCAATGCTAAAAACATTGGAGAACGGTTCAGGGCGAATCATCAGGCCGCTCTCCGCTCCAGATGATCCGTTCGGCCTCCCAATGATACCTGTGCTAATTGCAGTATACAGGAAGCTACACCATTGGTCTTTCATTTGCACAGCAGGTGGCAGAGCGACCGGTCCGGTCGCCAGCAGCCGTTGGGGCAGATGGACCACACTCGTAGTGTTGCGGGTCCAGGGTTGGTCCTGTCACGAATGGGGTCATCTGAAGCGGCAGCGCCCAAACGAACAGTAGGACAGTCTGGCGAGGGAATCACGGCACTCCCCTCCGCTTAGGTCATCATGAACTGATTTTAGATGAGTAACGCAGCGTTGGACTCTAGAAGCTAGCAGCCCATTAAAGACAGCTGTGTATGCGGCGCCATCGTTCCTGACTTCGAACTGACGCCACTTGCTCGGTGATGATAACTGCATCTGGTCACCAATTGAACGCTAGAGAAATGGAAGGAAAAGGAAAGCCGATGGAACCGGAACTTCAAGGAAAAGCCGATGGAACCGGGGGGTTGCGGATGTGAGCCTGTGCTTACCGTATGCCTGTGATGTAAGCCTGTGTATGTGATATGAGCCTTACCGGATGTGAGCCTGTGTATAGTTGTTATGAGAAATTGTCTTTTCCGTCACTGAAACACCAAACATGTGCATAATTGTTCCGACCGATAGCTAGCAACAGACGTGCGTAGCACCATAGGACATGTTGAGAAGACCGAAAACGTCGAGTGGTGCAACCCTGGGTCAGTACGGGAAGACGCCGGTGGCGATATGGCAGGGATCAACACGGCGTCGGTCGATGATGGTCGGTACATTGGCCACAGCGCCGAGGAGATTCTTTTCGATGTTGTGGTTGGTGAGCCGAGCTCGCCAACTCGCTCGCTGCGGGAAAAATGAGCGTCACTGTTGGACTCTTCTGAAGTTTCCCTGTGGTCATTCCGAGATCGGTATGTATAACGGCAATGTTGTTGACAGCGTTGGAACTGCAGTCAGAGTTAAGGCAGACAGTTTCTGGCGCATTGAACACGAGAACACAGCCAAAATCATAGCTGGATGGTCCGCAAGGCCGCGGTTCTATTGAACCTGGAGAGCATTCGCGTTAAAGCTCGTTCACTATTCCGGTTCCGGCATGAGAGGCTCTTGGGAGTTCCGCATTGCTCAATATGTGCGGTCGCTGAATAAGTAACCAGTTTTCCCCAAGTTGTGTTTCCAAACATTGATAAGACCCCTGTTGGCGTCTACGGTCAGAAGGCGTCGTGTTCACAAGACATAAAGAACGCTCTTTGGAGTTTGGTGTCATCTGACGAGCCAAATAACATTCGTGCAGTCTGTGCGCTTGGTAAAACATGTCACGTATGCTCCTGGGGTGTGTGTGGTCGCCGCACTTCAGTTGTCTTGTTATGCGTGATGCACGGTGTGTCTCTCCGGGCGTTCATGTATATAATGATGCCATTCTTTCGGCTGGCTCCAACGTGGAAGACAATGACAAGCTGATACGTACGGTTCTTGATAGGCTTGAGTCTGCGGGACTGAAGGTGGCCTCAGACAAGTTCCGTCTGTTTCAGAGTAATATGGGCTATCAAATCAAACCGAATCGGATATCCACAGGCCCGGGACTTGCCCAGGTCATAGCTGATATGAAGCTCACATAACATTAAAGTTGGTCCACGGTGTGTTTGGATGTTTCTCTCGTGATTTCGGAGGTTGCTTTACCCATTACCTTGATTTCAATAAAGTCGGTAGCTTTGCGAATACTGGACTGGATCAGTGCAATTCCATTCTGCGGAGTGTGTGTGTGCGTGTTTGTGGTAGGGGATTTACTCAGGGGTGCGTTTCTCAGGCGCACAATTAAGCCTCTACACTTTCGGTACCACAGCCTTCTTTGACGTTAGTTTGTCCGTTCCGAAGCGTGCCCGTTGACATTATTTCGGATGATGAACGTGATCAGTCACAGCCGGGTCTGCGATGCCTTACCTGGGGGTGACATGGTGCTGGGCGCCTGCGCCCGTGCTGGCCTTCGCTGCGCTTGGGTCCTGCAACCGTGCGAACCTAACCGATCGTTGGCGGATCCGATCTGGTTTGCCGACGATGAACACGTATCTTTAAACGGTAAAGTCAACAGCCAAGGCTTTCGTCGGTGCGCCATCAACAGCGAGAAGGGCGCCGCCTGGTGCGCCATCAACAGTGATAAGCGCGTCGCCTGTTGCGCCGCCATCAACAGTAAAAAGGGCGCCGCCTGGTGCGCATTCACGAGTGAGAAGGGTACCGTCTGGTGCGCCATTAACAGTGAAAAGGGCGCTGCCTGTTGCGCCACCAGCAATGAGAAGGGTGCTGCCTGGTGCGCCTTCAACAGTCTACGCGGCATTTAGTTTCAAGTCAGGCGAGAGGCTGCAGCGGCCGTAATGGTCAGATAGTGTGTGACGGCGGCGGTCGCTCTGTCGGAGGACACTCCCCGCCAGAGTGGACCCAGTTTCACGCGTCTGGAATACCCCCTCCACTGCACGGGCTCATGTGTTCAGCGGTTCACTGTTGTGTACGGGCGACATTACTGAACAGTTGTAATGAGCTGCAATGATAATGCAGTAAAATACATTAACTCCAATGAAATGCAATAAAAGTGCCACTCCGCAACCACTGACGCAGCCCACATTCCAGTGATCGCCAGCATTCGCGGCCTGGCAATTAGGTTGTTTCTGTCATGGAGAACCAGCTTTCACCGTCTGCTCCCCCTCCCCTCAGCCGACCTCCCCCGCCATTCGTGAACTACTTCACCCGCTCGCTCGGGGCATGCCAACGGTACCCTGTTTGCACCGGGGCGACGCCCGACTACGGCCGGTCGGACCCCGGGGCGCGGCAGTGCACGCCTCTCCGGAGAGGACAGCCACCCTGCGCGCCGGCCCAGAGAGCGCCGTGACGCCACCTGTCGCGCCGACACCAGCCGCTGGCCCCGCGTCGTCTGCTGGAGGCCTGAGAAGAGACGGGGGTGCAGTGCTCCGGTCAGCGCCAGCGCCAGCAGCGGCAGCGGCCTGACGTCATGGCCGTCCCAGCAGCGCTCGTCCTGGTGAGGGTTCGACTGCTTGCAGCACACGTCGACGAGGCCCATGAGCCGAAATTACTTATCTGAGTGCTCTCGCCGTCGCTGTGTAAGTTACCGCCGCTGAGTAAGCCCGAGGACCGAAATCAAGCACATTTTCAAAAGAGTTCGATTCGATAATTAAGATGGAAATGTGAGTTGACAGTAAGCTATATGGCCTGTTGTATCTGCGTCAACACACCCCGAGTGGACGGTTGGGTACCCCTCACTCGGGTGGGGCGAGGGGAACTTGACCCCCTGATGTTTCACATTAACAGTGCTAGAAACATGTAATTCACAGGGCGGTTGGCCTGTATGTGAAATCACTTCTGTCGAATTTCGAGGGTCCTAGATCATGTCCTTCCGGTCAAATAAGATCAGTGTCAAATTCAGGATTGATGTTTAAATTGACCCCAAACGTTCTCATGCAACCGCCGTAAACGTAGATCCCTGTCTTGAGCAAATCGTCACTGGCACTCATTTATGTCAGGGGCCTTTAATGACCTGCAAAAGGTCCGTGGTGAGCAAAATTCTACGAAACTGTGTCGATTTTTGCATTTGAATAAACGTCCAGAAAGATGCTAGGTGGTATATTGCTTAAAACTAAATGTTGACCTGGGTCATTTTAGGTTAGTGGTTTACTGTGGCCTTTTTAAGAAATCCATGAAGCATGTCTGTTGCGGTGTCTCTTATCAATAAACTCGAAATGAACACCAGAAAATACCTTATGCGTTATGCTCGCGAACAAAAAAGCAGGCTGGTGTAGGCCTCGGCATGACCGTCATACCTAACCCAGGCCAATGAAATTTGTTGTAACCCTAACTGAAGTTGTGTTATTGCCTAAGCAACTATTTCAAAGTTGCGTAGCCTCATCTAGCACCCTGTTGTCGCATCACATTTGAAGATCCTCTTAAAGTCGCCCCTTTTGAAGGCTATAACCTGACTTTGACGTGCCATAGGCTAGCCACCTTACAAGGTACATGTTATGTTTTATGCCAAAAGGCCCGCTATTTAATTGCCGATAGTTGTGCCGTGCAGTTCGCCACTTAATTTGTAAAAAGCTTCGGGGGTCAGATTGCCCCCCACCCATGCGCGTGTTAACACGATGCGGACCGAAAATAAATACAGACTCCGTGTCCACGACATAGAGGAACACCGTCATCACCGGTCAACCGCGTCCACTGCTGTGCCAGGGACGCGGTTACCGTGCTCATCCTGCCGCCAGGGACTATACCTCCAAGTGACTATTGAGCCACTAAAATGAACGGTCTTCCCTCAACCCTTATCACCTATTCGCCCCTAAACACTGGCTTTCCATGGAGTGAAATTTTGACAACATCCCTGGTTGATGCTTACTTCTAGCAGGGCAATTAGCGCACATTCTAGACACATACTTCGCCAAGCCCCAAACGAAACACACGAAGCATTTAACGTTCCTACACTTGATCAGAGCTGTGTAGAATTCTTTGTCATGAGTTCTAAGTTCTTACGTTGACAGTTATCTCCCTTCAATGTACCAA